GGATGGTCTCGATCTCTTGACCTCGTGATCCACCCGCCTTAGCCTCCCAAAGTGCTGGGATTACAGGCTTGAGCCACCGCGCCCGGCCCAACATTTTCTTTATATTGGAAAACATTTCATATCTGCAATTTAAAATGATGAAAGTAAATTCAACTTAAATGGTTGGAACGGCAACTTAATTTGAATTGACATGCACATGTGAATTTCAGTCCTAGTAAGTAGCTTTGAAGAATTTACACTTAGAACAGGCTCTAAGTGTAAATGACAGTCATCTTTTCAATAAGCTCCTTTCTCAATTCATTCACTTATCATTAAATCCTAAAATAGATGACCTGTCATTTTAAGAATATTTTCTGCTCTGCAACTTTGGGTACATTAAAGCACAGACCCAGGAACTTCAGAACTTGATGTTGAACCCCAAAATCTCATTTTCTGTGTGATCTTGAGCCAGTCACTTAACCTCTGAGCCTTAATTTTCTCTTCCTTAAAAAAAAAAAAAAATTAAATAATACACCTGATTTTAGTGAACCCAAGGATCTAAGAAGAACTTGGGGAGGGCAAAATCCTTTATGAATATAAAATTATCATTAATACACAGAATATTTTTTGAGTTTTACATATCATTATTACATAAATGGTTTTACTATGTAAAAGTGTGATTAGTGTAAAAATGAAATCCAAGAGGGCACAGCAGAGATGGTCATGCTAAATAGACCTGGTCAACTATTTACCATTTACGAATTAAATACAGGAATGACTATAATCCCTGGATGTGCAAAGCAATACCAGATTCTACTTCCTTGTACTGCTGTGGTTTACCAAGCCAAATCTGAGAAACAATTTTAGTGCTACCCTTTTCATGGCACTAAAGACGAATCATAAAGCATGCTGTATCTCTGATTACAATAGGACACTTCTGGCAATCTAGGACGCTACCCTTGGCTGACTGGTGGACTTAATTTTGATGGACACATGCACCCTCCTCCATCCTGGCCAATGGCAAAGACTCAAGCCTTCACATAGAGCAAATTGTTGCTGCTGAATATTCAAACAGATCTCATGTTTCTATTTGTAACAGATTTCTACCTGTTTCATGATAGAAGCAGATCTCATGGTTTCTATCATGGGAGATTGCTTCCACTTTTTTTTTTTTTTCCCATAAGTAATATGTACACCCTAGGAAGTTATCATCAAAGAACAAGCTCTTAGCCAACATTCTTCCCCACAATATAAGACGGTTTCTGAGTGAGAAATCAACTCATGCATTTGGGAAATGCTAAGCACTAAAAATCTCTGAAACACTTTAGTCTTATGCTTTTTTTGTAATGATTTTGAGATTTTGGGAAGAAACATGGAAACTTTTGGGTTGTGCACTTAAGACAGTAAAAGATTCAGGAAGTACAAAAAAGGGAATAAAATAAATGAAAGGAAGAAAATTTCGTTAATTAAAAAATTTTTTTTTAAATCTGCAATGTCAAGATGCTATGGTCAAAAAACAAAAAAACAAAAAACAAAACCAGAAACAAAAGCAAAAACTCATACATCGCAAAATTTCTTTCAAAGTTTAGTCCAACTCTTTGCTCAATTATATGACTATAGAGAAGACGGGATGAATAATCAAGTTTTAGTTCTTCAACTTTGAAGGCCCAAATCACTCATTAGCATGTTGCTCTGTTTGATGCAACTTACTTTGAAGAGCCAGAAATCAATACAAAAGGAAACAATAATAATAAAAGGAAAGATTTCTACTGTCATAATAGGGAAAGGTGTGTGAGCTGGAAGGAAGTACAGTACAGAAGCCCGTGACAAGTCATGATAAATGGGTCGTTATAAAATTCATGTTTAGGCAGCACCAGGCCGGGGATAATGCCATTCGTCATGGCAACACGAGGCCGCTAATGAGCCCTCATTGCATATTCATGTTTGTGGCGTTTCTTCCCTCCCTCCCACCCTCAACTAGTGCCTGAAAATATCTCTACCTCAAGCTGAAGCTCAGCTTAGGCCTTCTTCTTCTTCTTCTCTCTCTCTTTTTTTTTTTTTTTTTATTTGTTATGTTGCAGCAATTACACTGTAAAAGTGCTGCCCAAGATTGATTGCTCTGATCTGTAGTTCAATTGTAAATTAGAATACACATCCCCCCAGGGACACACGGCCCCTATTTGTGATTAAGAAAAAAGCCCCATAATAGACTAATAGCTAAAGTTCTCTCTCTTTTACTTTCAGGCAATTAGCTTGATGAAATGGCCTCTTTTTGTGTACCCTGGAAGTGTAAACCGATATCATAATGAAGTATATGATGTTTATTCTATTATTTTCACCTTGCTGGGTATGCAGGAATGCATAAGTAATGGCTGCTTTGTCTAGTACGTTTACTGATTCACAAGTAAACTATTTCTTAAAGATGCAGTGTATGCTTTCTGAGGCTTGAGTTAAGCAACTCCTAACTGTGGATTAACCTTCACACAAATGCCTACTGCAGGGGAGGAAAAGGAATCCTCCAGGTCGGGGGACAGCATGATGCTGATATTCAAGAGGACTCCAGCCACTGGGGCTGCTCTGGGATGGATGTGGTGACAAAGTACAAGTGCCAGCACTCAGGATCAGTGAAGGCAGCAGGAAACCTTGGAAAAGTGTTCGATAGTGACTTTTTGCTCAAAGAGACTCCACCTGACTATAATGTACCCTTCATCTCCCCCAGTTACTTGTGGAACACCAACTCACTTTCTGCTCTAAGGTGGCTGAAACTCTTCCTACACCATGGTTATATAGTTGTTGGTTTTTTTTCCCAGTGGATTGCACCCTCACTCATCCACCACCTGAAAAAAAAGTCTTGTAGTTTCACGATCCAACACATTGGCAAGAAAATATTCTTCAGATTCCTACATGCACCAGATGACAGAGGTTTTGACCACAGAGCCAATGAATCACTTGCAGTTGGTGCATTACCAAAGTCATTTGTGTTCTTCCTCTGTAATATCTTAATATTTGTTCTGTTTTCATTCACGAGGCTCTCAAAATTAGAGGGAAAAAAAGGGTGTTGTACATGGCAAGATAGAAAAAAGGAAAAAATAGAAAAGAAGAAATATAAATAGAAGAAAAAAAGAAAAACAAAAACCTATCTTGGTCTAAAGCATTTTATGGTGGGTAACTTAACAAGATGTTAATTACTGTTTCAATTCTACATTCTAATTCCCTGCTGTTCATCAATAACCCAGTTTATTTCACCCCCACAAACCCTTTCTGGGTTTGTATTGTCTAAACAAATCCATCCTTGTCTTCTTTAACGTGAATCCGATTTGAGTTTCTCAAAAATATAAGAAAATCATATTTATGGCAAATGATCTGATAATTTTTAATGCTGAGTTTGATGGGCACTTTTAGATGTCTTATATTTTGAAAGTAATACAGGAGATAGTCGTTTGTCACATATAAAATGTGTTTGCCTTTCATCCAGTTACTTCAGCTCCTTCTTGGTTAAATAAAACATTTGGGGGAAAATTTGTTACTATATTCTGGAAAGTAATTCTACTGTTACATCATTTCCAAAATACTACCAAGTGAGCTGCCAAAAAGTATTTCACGAAAATTTACTTTATGCCTTCTTTTCTAAAAATCAAAAGTTTTTATCAAGCCTTATTTGGGGGGCTGACTTTCTCTCTAATTTGTACAACATTGAACTGCCTTCTAAATTATAAACCTGCAACACAGTAAGTGTAAATTTTCATCACTCTCAGAAACTTTTGAATGTCTAGCCATGTTGCCATATTTAAAATATGCTATTTTCAATTTTCAAATGATATTGGGCTGGGTAGGTCTTCTCATTCACTTACATAACCTGTCACTTTTTTCTTTTTTCTTTTTTTGAGATGGAGTCTTGCTCTGTCACAGAGGCTGGAGTACAGTAGCATGATCTTGGCTCACCACAACCTCTACCCCTGGGTTCAAGCGATTCTCCTGCCTCAGCTTCCCAAGCAGCTGGGCCTACAGGCACATGCCACCACGCCTGGCTAATTTTTTTGTGTTTTTAGTAGAGACAGGTTTTCACCATGTTAGCCAGGATCTCCTGATCTCGATCTCCTGACCTCATGATCCGCCCGCCTCAGACTCCTGAAGTGCTGGGATTATAGGCATAAGCCACTGCACATTCTTAGTACATTCTTAAGTACACTTTCTCTAGAATAAGAATGCCTCCTATTTACAAGGTGCTTTATAATGTTTAAAATTTTTTCAAATAGATTGCCTTATGTAAATAATTCTATGAGATAAATGAGCCAAATATCCTTATTATTACCCCAAAGTTAGAGGGGGAAAAATTATGACTCAGAGAGGTATGTGACTTGCCCAGAGTCACAGGTTAGTAAGTGCAAAGTTGAGGCTTGTCCCCAGGTCTTTAATTCCAAAATGAGAACTCTTTCTGGTATGCAATGCTGCCTCTTCACTAGGTGTACATTCCAGAAGCAGCAGCTCGCTGAAATCTCATAGCTCTTAACATAAACAAGATCTGTGATCTTTATTTATACATGCTCAAGATTAACAAATGAGTTTAAAGACACTTGTGTACATGCACACACAAACACAAACACACACTCTTCTTGATAAATAGGAAAAAAAGTAATGAAATTCACACTGCATTGTTATCTACCAAGCTACATTTAAGATAATCTACGTTAGATTATAAGCATATACTTAGACTGGGTACATACCAGGCACACAATTGGAGCAATTATCTACATAATTCAAATTTGAGGGACAGGGGGATTACCACTCTTCTGATAGTCCATTGATTGGGTTTGCATGTTTAGAGCTTTGGTTGAGCCTTTTCACCAAACATCTCTTCAGACCTTTGCACTGCTATTCCCTCAGCCCACCCCTACACCATCTCATGTATTTCCATCTGAGTAACACAACCCTGACCACCAATCTAGATTCAGCTCAAAGAGCACTTCTCCCTGCAGACATTCCCTGACTTCTATCCATCCTTTTATCCCTGTTCCAAATACCTCTTTGGTTTGCTCTCCACTAAGGAGCCTCCTTCATCCCAGATTTGAAGCCAGTGAAGACAGGATTCTTGAAGCCAGTGAAGACAGGATTTGGATCTAGAATTCAGCAGATATAAACATTTTAAAAGGTGTGCTGGACCTGTCTGCCAAGGTGGCTCCCATTCTCCAGACCCGCTGTGTACCAAAGAGCCATGCTCAGAGCCCCGGGATTAGCAAAGCAACCACAGGCTGGTCTTTGCAAAGTAATGGCCACCATTTCAGTCAGCAGTGGGCACCTAACTCATGGTCTGCCCATTGTTGGAGTAGCCTTGAGATGATAACTTCACCAAATAAAACATTTAGAGCAGAAACCATTGAAGTAGGCAAAATCATGTCAGCCACGATTTTTATGAGAAATTATTGCTGCCTGAACTTGAGAAAGAAATGACTCCAGAAATAATCCCAAAACGCTGTATATATACTTCCAAATCTCAGGTGCAATATTACCTAAACATAGAAGAAGTGAGGGTATATGTCATTATCTCTTTCATTTATTCATGTTTTCATTCATTCAAGAACTCATTCAACAAATGCTTATTGAGCCTTGAGGAGATAATCATAAAAATGACATCATTCCAGCTCTCATAGTCATGGAACTTACAGTTTAAGGGGAGATATAAATATTATGTAATCGCACTAATGAATAGAAAATTGCATACAATAATACATACATAAAGTAAAAGTAAGAATAAAGTAGAACTTACAGTGAAGCCTTAATATAAACAAGTGCTTCAGTATAGAAGGTCTTGCAATAGAAACCTGAAGAATAAAGTTATAGATAAAAGTATTAGAAAAAATAAAAAGATTTCCAAAAACATGTGGAAAGGTCCAGGAGTAGGAAACAGCTTGGAAGTTAAAAAAATTACAAACAGGCCATTGAGGTTGGACCACTAGCACCTGGAGATAAAGTAGAATGTGATGGGCCATAGGTGAGCAGAGCCATATCACATAGGGCCTTGTAGACCACAGGCTTAGGTAGGAATTTTTTAAGCCACTTTTAAGTCCAGTGCAAAGCAACTGAGGGGTTCTAAGCTGGAAAGGCCAATGATCAGACCCACAGCAGCTTAGAGGGTGAGAGTGTTGTTCCATTTTGAATAAGAAACCTCAATTTGTTAGGAAAGAAACATACAACAGTTATATTTTTCCAATACCAACTAACCAATTATGTCTAGGAAAACACTTTACCTTCCCTGGGAGAAAACAAACCCCTCTTCACCCCAGAAGAGGGAAGCCCAGTGCCAGGCCTGTCAGCATTGAATGGGGATGATCTGATACCAGGTACAATATCAAAGAGCATTTTTTTTTTTTTTGAGACTGAGTCTCACTCTGTTGCCCAAGCTGGAGTGCAGTGGTACAGTCTCAGCTCACCACAGCCTTTACCTCTCAGGCTCAACTGATCCTCCCAACTCAGCTTCCTGAGTAGCTGGGACCACAGGTGCATGTCACCATGCCCAGCTAATTTTTATGTTTTTTTGTAGAGGGGGTTTTCACCATGTCACCCAGGCTGGTCTTGAACTCCTGAACTCAAGCCATTCTCTCGTCTCAGCCTCCCAGAATGCTGAGATTACAGGGGTGAGCCACCATGCCCGGTCTTTGAAGAGCTTTTGAGTCAGTTCTGAGAAACACTGACTGCTCTTGTGATAGGAAACCATCTGCTAAAATGCGATAGCACAACTAGAAAATGCCTCATGGGGTCTGCATGAAATACAGTCAGAGACTGGTTCAAAGATCCTGTAAAGTAGTCATTCTCAGCGTCTTGAAATGCTGGCCTTGACCTCATGACATGCTCCTGAGTCACTTTCCTACACCCACTGATCTGGTTAGGACCCACCCACGCCGAACCACAGCTCCCTGTTAGAGCACGTTGCTGTCATTGCTTGTTAATGGTCTTATCTCCTGCACTCAGCAGTGAACTCCACAGAACAGGAAGAGCATGCATCTTACTCGCCCCATTCTCCCTAATGCCCGGTACAGTGCAGGGCACTTTTAGATGCTTAGTCATGTTGGTGTGTTTCATTTGTGTTATGGTATGCAGCGTTATGTGTTGTCATGGGTGATTTGTTTTTCTATCTGCTCCTGTGAGTTCTCTGTGAGTAGAATCCATGCCTCCATCTTTGCATCTCCAGTTTATCAAAGAGGCTGGCTCATTGTTGGCACTTGATTAGGATTGATTAATTGATCAGTTAATTAACATATGGATAAAGCAATTAGGTATAAAGGACCTTCCTAAATGCAACCAACTCTACCTCTCTTTTAGTCAATCACAGATGCATAAAACCACATTGTCTGAGAATCTTACATGTCATCAATATTCATTGGTGAGAGATGTGTTTTATGCTGCTGTTTTATGCATTTCTACATGTGATTATACACCCCAGAAAAGAGTGCATGTAAAACTGCTGAAGCCTGAATAAAGCCTCTAACTGAGTTAACAATATTGAATCCATTTCCTAATGTTTAGAATGTGCTGTGGTTATGTGATATGCTGTCTTTGGGGAAAGCTGGGTGAAGGGTACATAGGATCTCTCTGAATTATTTTTACAACTTCAGTGAGTCCTATACTATTTCAAAATAAAATGTGGTAATTTTTAAACACTTTCTGATTTTTATGTTTATACTTTTACATATGTTTATATATACATTTCTATAACATCTAAAATGTAGTTGAAATGTCATAAATAATAATTAAATGATATTATCATATATTACGCTGGCATACAGGAAAGAAAATTCCCTAATGTGGGGATTTGGGACACTATTCTTTTTGTCTGGCTAGCTTGGCATTTAAAATATACTAGGAGAGGAAGGAGATGCATTACTTTTGCCTGATTCAAGCATATTTTCAAAATGATGTTTTCATAAACAAAGTACCAACAGCTATGATCTTATCTTCTCTCTTCTTTCTATCCTAATTCAGGTCAATAACAAGTATTTCTGCTCTCTTCTGCAGATTCTAGGTTTTGGAAGAGAGGATGCAATGATGAGTAACGGGGAACTGTTAGCGAAAAATTCACAAGCAGTTAGAGTGCCTTTAAATTTTTTTCTACCCAGTGTTGCCCTTTTAAGAAATAATGTCAGTTTTAGAGAGTGATGCTTTAAATAAATAAGACTGGTGTTTACAGTATTACTGGAGTTTTAAATTATATGTTCAAGATCCCACTGTTGGTTACATGGATAACAATGTAGGTGATCATATCTAAACTCTGAAGCGTGGTAGGCAATTCTTCTACTCTCTGAGAGATCTGAAAGCCACCCACAAAAATTCCATATGGCAGATTAAGGTAAAATTTCAATATCTCTTAAACTTCTTAAACATGTAAGTTCAGAAAAAAAAAAAAAAGTCTTTTAGCATAAAGAGCTGCAGTTTCCAATAGTATTCAATTAATTAGCTTCCTGTAGTCAATCAAAAAAAAATTCTGAAATAGCCTGTAGATGTCATAAACCTAAAGTCAGATTCAAAGATGAATGCCATTCTCCCATACACTTCCTTGTTTTTCAGGAAACTGCAAACTCGTCAGTAGGTACATCTAAGCAGTAGACTTGCCCAGAAGTCCCTGTAGTTTTATGATAACGTATATAAACTAAGTTCAGCTCAAGGTATGGCATGGTAGCTTCATCTTACAGACCCACCGGTTTGTCCCAGAGAGATTCTGAAGGAGACAGTATAATAACCAGGTGCAGGAACACAGTGCCTCTCTGCTTGCTAGAAAAGCTCATTAGAGAAGGGCATCCATCTTTACTTCTTCAGGATAACATCCATGAGCTGTGAAAATAGAGTTTAACTTAGTAAGGGAAAGGGAGAATAAATGCAAGAATGTTCTTAGGATCTAGCATATTGAATCATGAATCAAAGAAGAAGAAACTATAATTACCTCTCATTCCATCGAACAGAGAAATTTCTTCCACATGATCTTTTGTGTGGCAAGAATAAAGCTTCGTTCCAAAGAAAATCCAGTTAAAATATCCCAAAAGAGATAAAATACAAGATCCTGCAGCTCTTTAATGCTTGCTACTGGCCAAACCTTGCAATTAGAATCAGTCACTTTAAGTGCTGAAGTTGTATAATGCTAATAGATCACTTTACAATGTGAGCAGTTCTTTAAAGTCGTATTTAATTTTCCATCATTACAGTACTGAATGCCGGCTGCGTCTGTCCATTCTGATACAGGTTCTTAAGTCTCCATAGGGTACAGACTACTGCTTACCTAGGCATTGCTTGATTCTGGCTTTAATTCTCAGAGGCCTGAATTAGAGCTGTAAAATGGACTGTATTTCAACTTTCTCCCTAACTGTGTTTATTTTCAAGCCAAACGATGAGGGCTCCCTTTGATTTCATAATTATTTTATTTCAAAAAATAGAAATCGAGGTGAGGTGTATATGTCTGAATGTGTGTGTGCACATGCACACATGTGTGTGGTTTTCTTTAAGAAAATGAAATGAACCGGAAAATAAGCCCTTAGCAGTAACCTAAGAAAAAAAACAAAATCATTTACAACACATGGGATGTTGCAGGGTATGTCAAGATTAGATGGTTTTAAGGGAGCTATCCTGAATGTGGAAGCAATTATAATGAAATTCATGACTCATTAGCAAACATTCCATATTGTGTTTCTCATTTCTGGGTCAATGTTACTAGGAAACATAGACTTAAGATTTAGATGTTTCATTGACTTCAGCACTACATTATAGACAGTTGGACTGTACAATGACATAAAGCACAAGCTCTAGGGTTTTGAAGTTCTTCACTTCTCAGATGTAGGCAATTTGATCCTAAGATACCTATGAACAAAGTAACTTCAAAAATGTATTAGTAAGAATTAAGTTGGTGATAGAAGGGTTGTCTGTAAATGTAAAGAATTACATGGTACAAATGCATACTGGTGAATGTCGGTGGGGATTTTGTCTGCATACTGCTTGGTATGCAAAATGGCTGGTGAACTCAAGTACCTGATACTGTAGGTAATGGGAACCAGATGTCTAACAGGGAGAGAAAAATATTTTATAGCAATAAATGTGACATTGACTCTTAAAGGGTTTGCTGTTGTTAAACAACTTCCCATTCTTACTTTCCCTCATATTTTAATGTAGTTTAAAGTAGATTGTGTAAGGAAATTATTTTCATATTTTAAAGGAAAAAGTATTCAACTTACCACTAACTTATAAAATGCAGATATAAGGAGAAATGATCTGAATAAGATAATTTTGGAATTCATTCATTTACCAAAGCACTGTGCTCAGCAATGTAAAAAAATATATTAAGGTAAATAAAGCATAATTCCTCTTGCCCTTAAGGAACTCAAAACATACTAGATGTGATAAGATGCACACAGCTGGATGGGGATATGGCACAACAAGCCCTGGGAAAGACGCACAAAGTGTTCCGAGAATTCCAAGGAGGAAAAGAAAAGGTGATGGCCAGCAGGATCCATGAAGGAGGGTCCTGCTGATCCATCCTGCTCAACGTCTCCCCCGTCCATCCCCACCTCTGCACAGCACTAGGCCACCTTGGTGAAGGCCCTCCTGCTCTCTGGCCAATGCAGGGGTCTCCAGTAGCTTGGCAGCTTTGCTCACTCAGCATTTCCACACTCATGCTCCATGCAACCCTGACTTTGCTGCCAGGATGGTTGTTCAAAAGCACTAATCCAGCTGGGAAGTAGGGTGCCCTGATGATTAAATTGCAAGCTCTATAATAAAGCCTGGGGTTCACTTCCTGCTTTGAGGTTTTTTTGGTTGTGACCTTGGAGAAGTCACTTAGCCGATCTCCCTCTGTCTGCTTTTTCTCCTCTGTAATAGCAAGTGTCTTATAGGCTTGGCATCAGGATTTCATGAGGTGCTGCACACCATGTGCTTTGCACAGCACCAGCATGGAGTCAGGGCACTGTTGGAAACTCTGTTAGCTGTAACCCGATCAATCATCGAATCTTGTTTGTTTGTTTGTTTGAGACAGAGTTTCACTCTGTTGCTGAGGCTGGAGTGCAGTGGTGCACTGCAACCTCCGCCTCCCAGATTCAAGCATTTTGGAATTCACTAATTTACCAAAGCAGCCTGCCTCAGTCTCCCATGTAGCTAGAATTACAGGTGTGCGCCATGACACCTGGTTAATTTTTTGTTGTATTTTTAGTAGAGATAAGGTTTCGCCAGGTTGGTCTCGAACTCCTGATCTCAAGTGACCACCAGCCTTGGCCTCCCAAAGTTCTGGGATTACAGGCATGAGCCACCACAGCAGGCCCAGTCTAGTTTTCACAGAGCAAAATCCAAAGCCTCTAGTTTGGCATGCCAGACTGTTCATGAGCTGGCACTCACATACCTCTCCAATTCTTTTTCTTGATCCCTTTCATTAAATACTCAACTTTCTTGCCATCCTTGTCAGCTTGTCTTTGTCCAAGCAGGCCTTCTGTGCTCCAACCCCATGCCTCTGCACATGCTGTTGCCCCTGCCTTAGGTGCTCCACTTTCCTTCCACCACTCTGCATTGCAAATTCCTGCTTAAGCTGCAGGTCTCCCTCTCACAGATCTTTCTGATTCTTCCCTGCTATCCTGTGAAAGAACAAAGGCCTTCTTCCCACAGGCTATTGGTCTTAAACTCACAGGGCCCACACAAATAGCATAAATAAATGAAGTGGTACAGGATAAGACCACTCCTATAGGGATTGGTGGGGCTGTAGTTAAAAAGGAGAATTCACATCTTTGTTTTTTGAGATGGAGTCACACTCTATCACCCAGGCTGGGGTGCAGTGGAGCAATCTCTGCTTACTGCAACCTCTGCCTCCTGTGCTTCTCAGGTTCAAGGGATTCTCCAGCCTCAGCCTCCTGAGTAGCTGACTGCCATCACCCCTGGCTAATTTTTGTATTTTAAGTAGAGACAGGATTTCACTATGTTGGCCAGGCTGATTTCAAACTCCTGACCTAAGTGATCCGCCCACCTCAGCCTCCCAAAGTGCTGGGATTACAGGCATGAGCCACCGCTCCCAGCAGAACTCATTTCATTCCCTGGCTAAAAGATCAGCCATGCCTCACTGTGGCCATGGTGGAATAGGGGCTCGTTATTGCCAGTTCTCTCGTTTTCTCAAGGAAAGATAGAAATATGTATTTTTACCTAAAATCTCCAGCATTTTGTTGGTAACTAAAAAGAATAATCAAATATTATAACTTTAGAACAGCTGAAACCCCCTGGGGACCAAGTGGCTAACTGCATGTAGACCTTGGCTCTTGGAATACCTTATTCTGGGATTTCCTTACAGGTATCCACCACCAATCTGGTGAATTTAACTTTGCCCTTTAATTGTTTGCACATCTACTTCCCCAGCAAACTATGCTCTTGAGGATAAGGATCATGTGGGGTTACCTTTGTCTTCCTAAGGGTAACAGCACAGGGGGTGGCTCAATGAAGCATCTCACTCAATTTCATATTGATATTTTCCAGAGCATTGAAGCCAGGGAAGGGTCTGCTGAAGGGAAGTCATTCCAGGGGCATCAACAGGTAAAGATGTTCTTATTCCAAGTGTCCCTGTTTCTAGAAAAGAAAGATTTTACAGATATCGTAAGCCTTACTCTACATTTGACTTCCTTAGGACCATCTGGAACTCTTCCTATGATGGCTGCAAAGCCCACTCCATCATTAGCAACATTCCAGCCAGCTTTCCAAACATAAACCTAATCCATAAATCTAGGCTATATATAAACTTAATCTATACCTGACGTGTAAGTGAATAGCTAAATGAATTAATTAAATTTACCCCAAAGAATTCCAACTCAAATGTCAGATGTGACGTTTTAGTTTTGTTGGAAAGTGAACATAGACCACATCCTGGACTCAGAAAAAAACATGTTTTCTCCATATCTGAGGCCGAGAAGAAAATGGTCAAGACAGGGATGGTAGATAACACTGAAGATTCAGAGACAGCCATCCTAGTGCATGTTTTTGGTTTGTTTGTTTGTTTGTTTGTTTTTTGAGATGGACTCTTGCTCTGTTGCCCAGGTTGGAGTGCAGTAGGGCAATCTCGGCTCACTGTAACCTCTGCCTCCTGGGTTCAAGCATTTCTCCTGCCTCAGCCTCCTGAGTAGCTCGGACTACAGCCGCATGCCACCATGCCTGGTTAATTTTTAATATTTTTAGTAGAGACAAGGTTTCACCATATTAGCCAGGCTGGTCTTGAGCTCCTGACCTCATCATCCGCCTGCCTCGGTCTCGCAAAGTGCTAGGATTACAGGCGTGAGCCTCCACTTCCGGTCCCTAGTGCGTGTTTAAAAATTTTTTTATGTCCATAATCTTTGATCCAATAATGCAACTTCTCAGCATTTTTCTCAAAGAATAATCATGCACAAATATTTGACTGTAAGGATGTTCACTGCCATTCTGTTTATAATGTTGAAAATAGAGGCAGGGAATGGTGGCTCATACTTGTAATCCCAGCACTTTGCAAGTTGAGGTGGGCAGATCACCCAGTGTCAGGGGTTTAAGACCAGCGTGACCAACGTGGTGAAACCCCTGTCTCTACTGAAAATACAAAATTTGCCAGGCGTGGTGGCGCATGCTTGTAATCCTGGCCACTTGGGTAGCTGAGGCAGGAGCCTGAACCCAGAAGGAGCAAGTTGCAGTGGGCTGAGATCACACCATTAAACTCCAGCCTGGGCAACAAGAGCAAAACTCCATCTAAAAAAAAAGGAAGAAGGAAACAGAAGGGCTGTTACAGGAGCAATAGCAGAGTACTGGGTTCATGATTATAAATAATGACAGGTGAAATCTACTGAACTCTCACTTATATGACAAAAAATGT